TTCAATAGAAATTCATATAGTTTAATTGTGGAGTGAAATGTATCCCGGTTAAAATAGCCGTTCATATTTTTCAAGTGAATTCACTTTTGTTCTGTTTTACACTGATATTTTATATGATTTTAAAAATTAGATTCAAATATTTTGATTAAATACCCATGTATTTTAGGACGTTTCTTTAAACAGGGTGGAGGGTAAAGGATCTAGAATAGTTACCAGTTTATTGTTACTATTGTTTATTGTTACTTGTGTTTATTGTTCCTTGTTTGTTCCTTGTGTTTATTGTTCCTTGTTTGTTCCTTGTGTTTATTGTTCCATGTGTTTATTGTTACTTGTGTTTATTGTTTTTATTATCCTTAACTAAATGGCGCGTATAGTCTTGCGAAGCATTTGAAGGACTGAAAAAAAACACAAATATATTATATATTATATATGTGTGTATTGGTCCTCATAGGCATAATATATAGATCATCACGATCGAAACTGGTTTAATTACAAAGACTTTAATAGATAATCAAACAAATATTTTGTGCTTCAGAAAAATGCATGACAATTATAAAAGGCGAATTTTTGTTTTCATTTGATAGAAAAGTACTAAGTATATGGTAATTATGCAAGTACAAAAATGTTCTTTGTTACCTTCAATATTTGTTCTCTACAATAACTTCCATGCATATTTTTCATATATACCAAGTATTCATGATTTTTTGAATCAGTTTGTTTCTGATATGGCGGAATATGCGCTATTATTTCTTAAAGTTGCAGTCATTCTTTGAATAAATATAGCTTGTAAGGTAACTTAAGGCCACATCAATTTGATTTCTTGATCTTCGGGCTTTTGGCCAAACTATAAAGAACACAAATCCATGTTTGCCAATGAACTCCACGTCACCATGTGCTTAACTCCATAACACACAAAGCATTCCAACTTTTCTCTACTTATATATTATCATTAAACGTTCTAAGATGATTTCAGCTTCCCAATTGTGAACTTTCCATTTCTATGTAGCAACATTCCAGCAGCGCCTGCATACGGAGTATATATCTCCCAATTGATACGATATTCCCGGGCTTGTATTTCCTATCATGATTTCCTTGATAGAGGATTGCTGCTCACAAGGAATTCGAAGCTATTAAACCAAGAGTTCCAAATGGTGAAGTTGAAGTCATCCCTTCGTAAATTTTACGGACGCCATCACGAGTTGGTTGACCGTTATGGAATAACCGTCTCACAGATGATATCGGATATGTTCCTTATGTCGTAACTACAATACCCTTTCCCTTTTCACGAATGTGACCTACCGAATTAGACTACTTACCGGATTTGTAATAACATAAGCAACACGACGGGTGCCACATGTGGAGCAGGATATGCTTACCCTTCCGGAGCACCTGAGATCACCCCCAGTTTTTGGTGGGGTTCGTGTTGCTTAGTCTTTAGTTTTCTATGTTGTGTCATCTGTACTATTATTTGTCTGTTTGTTTTTTTATTTTTGGCCATGGCGTTGTCAGTTTGTTTTCGATCTATGAGTTTGACTGTCCCTCTGGTATCTTTCGTCCCTCTTTTAAGGATGTCTTATTATTAGACTGCCAAACTAAATTGGTGTTGTTAAAATTTATAGTTATTTTCTGAGATATCGAAATGTCAGTGACGGTCATGAAGTAGCTAAGCATTTTTATAGTATTTATGGGCTATACAACTATTTACACATTCAAAAAGGTGTAACATTTGTTTTCAAGTCCGTATTTAAATAGAATACCAAACAATATTTCTTTTAAACTCTAAACATGAAGAGATCATGATGACATTTTTTAACATTTTCTCCCATATTTTGTGACGGTCCTAGTTCCTGGAGTTTTCAGTATTTTAACATAGTTCGTGTTTCCCCATTTACAAATTTATTGAAGCTGGTCATATATGATATATACTAGTATGTAGCTGTTTACACTAGAACTGTTAATCATACATGCACAAACAGAAATGTCATAAGATGTGGGAACGTTTTCGTGATTAATTCATCACCATATTTTTATCATATGCTATTAGACAGGCTTTTTCGTGTCAATACCAATCAAACACTATCCAGTTACGATTATCTTCTTATTTATTAATACCGAAATTACGATTATCATTTTTGCGAGTTACGATTATCATCTTGAATTTTTCGACGCCAATTTTCTAAGCGCTTAGACAATTATAGTGCACCGTTACGATTCAAATATGATGTAATGGTATAGAAAAACCTTGCAGCTGAGTAACTCTTGACAACAACGGGCTACATTTGAGAAAAATGACTGAAAAGATTTTACCTATTTCTGCCGTCGCCATATTGGGATCGTCGTAATTCCAGTTACGATTATCAGTTTTACACCAGTGACATATGTTCATTTAAACATACTTAACACATACACACTGTGTAAATTGTAAATGAACTTGAAATTTTTATGTTGTGGCCAAACCGGTTCTTTGGGTGAACACTAAATTTTCAAAACAATCTGGAGGCCTGCAAGACGACTTAATTTGTTTAAAATTGGTATTGACGAATACTGTTACATGTAATGCAGGGCAAACTCATGTTGATTTGTCACATACATATGTTTTAATGGCATATTTGTCCAATTTCTGTATTGACCCTTCGATATCCGTTCACCTAGATACATGAAATTAACTGAAACTCGAAAATCAATACATTTTCTGAAAAATCAACATGAGCTTGCCCTGCATTATTTATAACAGTATTCGTCCATACCAATTTTAAACAAATTAAGTCGTCTCGCAGGCCTCCAAATTTTTTGGAAAATTATGTGTTCACCCCAAGAACCGGTTTGGCCACAACATAACAATTTCAAGTTTATTTACAATTTACACAGTGTGTATATGTTAAATATGTTTAAATGAACATATGTTCCCATAGTTTAGGATTTTATTCAATATAGGTTGAAAAATACAGGCAAAGTTTAGATGTTTATGAAGTGTCCTATATTTTGACTTTAGTGGAACCTTAAAATCCTCCACTTCTTTTTTAATGTATCATGGAGTATAGATATACAAATAAGAAGATGTGGTATGATTGCCAATGACTCACTTATCCATTAGAGACTAAATGGCCTTGATGTAAGCAACTGTAAGTCATCGAACGGCTTCAACAATGAGCAAAACTCATATCGTATAGTAAGGCACCGAAATAACAAAATGTATTACAATTCAAACGAAAATTCAACGGCACTGTTTGTGTACAAATTATAAAATATAACAAATATAATAGAAAGCAACCAACGACAACCACTTTGCAATGGGCAATACCATCACATACATATTATATATATTTAATAAACGTCAATCATACTGCAAACAAATATCAGAAAAATAATCAAAAATATTTGATTCAGAGGGTCAACATTGAGTCTTCTACAATAGAACTGAGTCCGAATATATCTAACTTTAAATGACAGATTCTGTAAAAAGTTTGAATATGTTTTACAGAGAAAATGTTAGTGATCTATTACCAACTAAAAATTCATCAGATCAAAACATTTAAGCAAGATTTAAGCCAACGAGGGAGAGGTTCATGAATATGTTTTGTGGTTGAAATAGGGTTTTTGTCGAGCCTGCTACTTTTGTCGCAAAAGCGAGTCATAGCGATCCTACATTCCGTCGTCGGCGACGGCGTCCACAAATATTCACTCTGTGGTTAAACTTTTTGAAACGATATTATCCAGAAGTAAATTTTGTAAACAAAAAAATCCTGTTTATCCGTATTTTACTTATAAATGGACTTAGCTTTTCTGTCAGTTAACATTACATTCACTCTGTGGTTAAAGTTTTTAAAATTTTAATAACTTTCTTAAACCATCCTGGATTTGTACCAAACTTGGACAGAAGCTTATTTATGATCATAAGATAATATCCAGAAGTAAATTTTGTAAACAAAAAAATCCTGTTTATTCGTATTTTACTTATAAATGGACTTAGTTTTTCTGCCAGTTAACATTACATTCACTCTGTGATTAAAGTTAAAGACAAATTCATACTATGTCAAGAATTTTTAAAAATTATTCAGACAAATTAAGAATGTCGAGTAAAAATTCATGCAAATTCAGACAAAAACTGGTCTTTTCAGACTTTTTGACTTTTGTAGTGATAGAAGAACGTACGTTGAAAATCAGTTCACTTCCGGTTGTCTTGTATGTTAGTCTTTATTGGGATTATGATTTCCATTTTTTTTGTATGTTCTGATATTTTTACACCTTTTAGATGCCGCTTCAGTAACTATTGGCACAAGTAATGAAAAAAAAAACATATTTATTCAGTATCATTTCTGAAAACATGTCCAAAGTACATATAAAAATAAGAAGATGCGGTATGATTGCCAATGAGACAACTCTCCACAAGAGACCAAATGGCACAGAAATTAACAACTATAGGTCACTGTACGGCCTTCAACAATGAGTTAAACCCATACGGCATAATTGGCTATAAAAGGCCCCGAAATGACAAATGTAAAGCAATTCAAACGGGAAAACTAACGGACTGATTTAAGTACAAAATAATGAATGAAAAACAAATATGACATTCAAAAACAATCGACAACCACTGAATTACAGGCTCCTGACTTGGGACAGGCACATACAGAATGTGGCGTTGATAAACTAGTTTGAAGGCGCCAACCCTCCCCCTAAACTGGGAAGTGGTGTAACAGTACAACATAAGAACAAACTGTAAACATCAGTTGAAAAGGGCTTAAATAATCAGATGATTACAAAGCAGAAATGCATCAAACAAAAACACAGAGTGGACGTGGCAGGGTACTTATACATCCCCACAACAAAAAGACACTAAGTACAGATCTGAGAGTACTCGCATTTACTTACAGCTAGTTCAAAGCCAATAACAACTAATAAAAAAAATCATGCATCTAAGACTAAAAAACTAAAAAGCTGCAGACAAAAAGATCACGTCTTACATACATAAAACGAAACACATTCTTTTATAAAATATTGAATCATGTGCTTCAAATTTTATTACAAAACACACACAAAGACGAAAGTGGTCAACATTAAAGACATATCGATACGTCGATATATAATAATAATAAAAATAAAATTGTTTTGAATATCAAATTCTTATGAGTATAAATATTTTAAAATTTTTGTTTAAAGTGTATTTCTGTTCAAAAATATAAATTAAGAATCATTATTTGGATAACAAGTATGTAAATATAACACCAAGTGAAGTTCCTGATGTGGTAGGATGTTGCTTGATTGTCGATAGCAGAATATCCTGATGCAGGAGAAATAGCTATGTCGGCGCATCCATAAAACTGTTCCTGAGGACCGCAGCCAATACAACATGTGTTTTTCTGGTCACAGCCGTAAGAGTTACCTAAAACAAAATAAGAAAATGTCCATATGTCAGATACCAGTAAACTAAATCATAAGAATATAATTGATATGTTGTAGACCGAGTGGTCTAAGCAGTCGCACTACTATATCACTAGTCTGTCAACACTGATGTTGTTAGTTCGAATCCCGCAAGTTGCAAGTGCGCTCAACTCCAATCTTAATTGACTAGGATTGTCAGTTTTCCTACCGAAGGACGGTTGTTTTCTCCGGGCACTCCACCAATAGATACTGACCGCCACGAAATAGCACAAAAACTTATATGTTGTAATAAGTATCGAATTCTAGTCACTTAACACTGGGCTGATTGTAATCCGTACATGATCCATTAGTGCCAGTTTGCTAAAATTAAAATACAAATTGTCATAGTAACTATTGTATACCCATGTGTTTTACGTATATTCTATGAAAGAGCGCAAAGTCCAAATTACAAATTTTTTCTGCTAAAATGTATATTTTCATCTTGTTCTTGTTAGGAAACAAAATCTGCCGAACCTCTTTAGGGTGGAGATATGAAAATTTTGAAAATGAATAATCTGGCCTGGAAAGAACTGAAAATGAATAATCTTTCCCAAGCCAGAATGAAAATGAATAGTCTGCAATACTAAATGCAGCCATTTGCAGGAAATATTTGTGTAAAAAAATAAGCGAATCTAGAAAAGGGTGAAAACAAATATTCGTAAGAAACAGATCCCCGCGCTCCTTGAATATCAAATGGCCGTTCCCGTAGCTGCCTATCCTGTTGATTTGTGATAATGACAGTTTTAAGTATACAGTAGATGTTAAAATATCTTAACATTTTGCTAGTAGAGATATATATTAACATGACATTTTTCATATCAGATATATTATCTACCCTCGGTCGATATCAGCACTCGTGCCATTGACCTTTGGTTCTTATCATGACGAAGAACTGATTAAACATCTGCAATGACATGTGATAATAACTTTGTGATATAAGTTTTACCTGTATTCCATATCCATTGTAGCACACATTGTGTACATGATACATCTTGAGGAAGAACAAGTGTTACTGCATATGTCCCAACAGCTCCTGGCTCATCAAATTTTGTTAGCCCGTTTGGTTGATGGAGTAAATGTGCATCAAAGCATGACTGAGTTGCGGGTACACTCGGGTTATTAACAGGACAAATACGAAATTCATGGAAACCTCGATGCGAGGCTGTTATTTCTAGTTTCACTTCCATTGTGTTTCCGGCAGTATAATTTCCAGTAATAGTGCCAGTCGCATATTTTCCTCCAGCCTCGTTCTCGCGTGTACCGTCCCATGGATCTCCACATAATCCACATTTTCCCTTGTTTAAAGTCCATTGTTTCTGAAAATACCATTTTTATGCAAATTTATACGTTGCTTTGCAAAACAGATTGTACATTTAAATTGTTATGACGTCCATCAAAATTATTTGCCCTATTCTTACCATATGTTAATATCCCGCCAAATTATCTAAAATAAGGTGCCTCTTAGTTGTCTTATATTTTTTATTATTACAGTATTTAACAGCCGATTGTCGGATATTTTGTGGTAGTATTTGTTATATTTGTTTGCAATGAATAATACATATTTTTTCGACATTATCCTGCAAACGATTCTTCAATGCACAGATATAGCATACTCAACATTTTGCAAAGAATTCCACTCAAAACGGTATTAGCGTCCTTGAACTCGCAGTAAGGTGGTAAATTTTAGTCGATGACGAAGGCCTAATTGAGGCCTCAAGTCAAAGAGCAACAGTACATTATACACTGTTATTTTGTTTTGTTTTTTATGTGCGAGCAGTGATTATTTGTCATGACTGATAAACCATATTCTTTTTTTTTTCATTAAAGACTTTTATAGTGTTGTTTTCATTTGTATACCCTTGTATTTATATTTAAAGTTACTTACTTTGTACTTTTAGCCCTGCAGATAAGTGACAAAATAGCTCACATTGTGGTACAAGCACCAAAATTGACATGGAGACTCCTTTGGGTCTACATATTCGGAAAATCCCGTTTGCCACGTGAAATTGTAAATGGCGGCCATTTTTTTCAAGATTTATTGGGGAAAGTGTATTCTAGAACATCATTATGTTTTACTTTACTATATGTACTATCAAATACAAAAAAAATTTTGTTGACGTCTTTTTCAGATTTATTTGAATATTTGTTTGAATGTTTTAGTCAGTTGTGTTGTATGTCTGTGATGTTGTCAATGTATATTTGTTCCGCCTAACAGAAGTTCCCCTGGAAACTTTGTTAAAACAATGCCGCATTATTTCTGTTCTTGTTGGAACAAATGTTATATACCCTTTATTCCGTAAGGAACAAATACTGTTATATTTGTTCAAGTATAAATAATATTACAGAATATTTCTTCCATTTGGAACTTATATTATGATGGAACATCTATTTCATGACAAAGTTTTAGCTGCTGGATCCCAATTATTGTCACATTAACCAATTATGTTTGTTTGAGTTGCTCACCAAATGTTGACAATATACCGGAACTATAAACAACTGCCATAAAAGTGGGGGGTTAGTAATCTATAAAACCTGGTTTAACTCAAGTCAGGAATATGACAGCAGTTTTCCATTCGTTCCGTTGGTTGATATAGTCTAACGTTTGATTTTATCAGGTTTTATGGACCTTTTGAATTCACCTCCGAGTACTGCTTTTTTGTTAATACTTTCTTGCATAAAATAATGACTTTAAGCACAAGTTATTTAGGCTATGCTAACAAAAGCTTAATATTCTGTATCAAAATTGAATATAATTCTAAGGACACTCAGGAAATACCCAAATATAAATGTATGTAGTTATCGATAGTTGGATAACTTCTGTCGTGTTGTCGTCGTCCGCGTCAAACTTTGCTTAAAAAATAATTCCATGAATGCTATTGCTTAATTAGAATTGTTCACATGGCCTGGGTTGTAAGATATTTGAAATTTATTCCGAGCGTTAGCGATTGAAAAAAATAACAAATATAACGGCCTAGACTATGTTATAATAATAATAATCTTTATTCTCATAAACCATTAAACCATAAGTTATAACGGTACAGAGATATACATACATATATTGATGAAAACAAACTTATTTATAATAACACCATACACACAAGCATACACCAATTATCGGTATATATAAAAATAAGAAGATACCCACATACACATATATCATTATGTTCAATATATAAAAAATGGGGATTATGTGAAAGTGACATCAAATCTATGGCTTGCATAGATTATTTCGATTCTATTAGTACAAATTCGGTAATTAAAAAAAAAACTGTTGTGTGTGTGGCTGTTCTATATCGAGTTAAAAAAGTTTTACAACTCATATTTTTTAATTCTATATTAAGAAATAATCTATGATTCGAAACATAACAATAACTAAATTATTGTAACAAAGAAAATAGATCATAACGTGAAAGTTATCGATTATAACGATGTCACAGATTCACACTTAAAACCAATGTTTATTCATTGTAGTAGTTTGGAGTTGGAAAAAGGTTTTCCATGCTATAATATACGTGTGTTCGGCGTTTCATACAATTTAGGCTGAATTGGGTCCATATATTTACATCCCATCAAAGCAATAAAACTACGAAAAGAAGCACTAAATTCAGAAAAATTAAATAATCAATTAGAAAAATAAAACAGAAAGAAAGAAAAATATCATGTATACATACGTAAAATCCGCCACAGGAAACCTGGTTGTCGTTGTAATTCTTAGGAGTGTTATATCCATACCGCCACATCGTGGATCTACCTGGCGGTAAAATTAGTCTTCCGTGCCCATTAGTAGCAGTAAATAACGATGCTAGTGTCAAAATTGTGATCAGCATACTGCTTCATATAAACTGCACATGAAAACAAAATATTAAAATAGGTAAGTATTTGAATTGAATTTAAGTGGAGCTCAGATATTGGGTTTAACTTAAATAACAAATTTGAACACCATTCACGTGAAAACATCTGTATGCATATTACTATCATATTCTATTTCTTACAGGTAAATGGACTTTCTTAATCATTAAACAAAATAATAATTTGTTATGATAAAAGGGATAAAACAAATGATTTGAATTGATAAAATTGAGAATGGAAATGGGGAATGTGTCAAAGAGACAACAACCCGACCATAGAACAGACAACAGCAGAAGGTCACCAACAGGTCTTCAATGTAGCGAGAAATTCCCGCACCCGGAGGCGTCCTTCAGCTGTCCCCTAAACAAATATATATACTAGTTCAGTGATAATGAACGCCGTACTAAACTCCAAATTGTACACAAGAAACTAAAATTAAAAATAGTACAAGAATAACAAAGGCTATAGTTATGAATATAACAGATGAGACAAGCAATCCACTACCCCCCACAGACACAAAAAAAAGTTTCGCTTTTGAATTGTATTACATTTTGTCATACAAAGGTCTTCTATAGCTTAGTAGATTTTGGTCGCTGTCTATTATATTTGTTGTTCGTTTATTGTTTTGTACATAAACCAGGCCGTTTTATTTTATGTTTAATAAAATTGAGAATGGAAATGGGGAATGTGTCAAAGAGACAACAACCCGACCAAACAGCCGACGGCCACCAATGGGTCTTCAACACAACGAGAAAATCCCGCACCCTGAGGCGGGCTTCAGCTGGCCCCTAAACAAAATGTGTACTAGTTCAATGAAAAAGGACGTCACACTAAACTCCATAACATGTAAATGAACTAAAATGAAAAAACATACAAGACTAACAAAGGCCAGAGGCTCCTGACTTGGGACAGGCGCAAAATGCGGTTGAATTGTTTTACATTTTGCCATTTACTAAACAATAATTACTAAACAGAATGGATTTTTCTTATTGCTGAAGACCATAATTATGATGCCCTACAGGTGATAACATACTCGCTCTTCACACTAGCAATCACACTACATCTCCTTATTACAGAGGTCAACAGCTGTATTCAATAATAGACAGGTTTTTATTCAAGGTGTCAGGCATGCTCTAGGTCGTCCTAACACTAGGGAAGTAGTTATTATATTCAATGGAGAATATCAAAGATCTGCCATCACTCAAAGTTCCCAAAATTACAAAAACTACATTAAAAGTATAACAAAGAACAAGCATAAATGATGTTACAGACTAATATCATGTACATTACCATATGGTGGGTTGAAACTAGGTTTAGGGTATTACATTGTATATTGTACTGTAGAATATCTCTCCTCTTGTTCGCCGCGATATAGCCTTGTTGTGCTAATGCGGCGTAAAGCAACCAACAATCAATCAATCAATCTCTCCTCTTGTCGCAACAGGAAGACGAGAACGGTTACCCTAATTTCGTGTGTATTTAAAAAAAAGTGACGTAGAGGATATCAAAGGGACAATACAAATTAAAGCATAAGTCGAAGAAAATTTACAAAGCGGATATCCAGTTTAAATTCAACAGTAGAAAACGAGTAGGAATGCGAAGTTGATCAAACTTGTATAATATATTTGATTGTCTCTCATCATTTACTGTAACAGTTTATTACAGTGTCTCTCAGCATTACTGTAACAGTTTATTACAGTGTCTCTCAGCATTTACTGTAACAGTTTATTACATTGTCTCTCATCATTTACTGTAACAGTTTATTACAGTGTCTCTCGTCATTTACTGTAACAGTTTATTACAGTGTCTCTAATCTTTTACTTACTGTAACAGTTTATTACATTGACTCTCATCATTTACTGTAACAGTTTATTACATTGTCTCTCATCATTTTCTGTAACAGTTTATTACAGTGTCTCTCAACATTACTGTAACAGTTTATTACAGTGTCTCTCAGCATTTAGTGTAACAGTTTATTACATTGTCTCTCATCATTTACTGTAACAGTTTATTACAGTGTCTCTCGTCATTTACTGTAACAGTTTATTACAGTCTCTCTCATCTTTTACTTACTGTAATAGTTTATTACATTGACTCTCATCATTTACTGTAACAGTTTATTACATTGTCTCTCATCATTTACTGTAACAGTTTGTCACAGTGTCTCTCATCATTTAATGTAACAGTTTGTTACAGTGTCTCTTATCATTTACTGTTACAGTTTATTACATTGTCTCTCATCATTTACTGTAACAGTTTCTCATCATTTACTGTAACAGTTAATTACATTGTCTCTCATCATTTACTGTAACAGTTTATTACATTGTCTCTCATCATTTACTGTAACAGTTTATTACATTGTCTCTCATCATTTACTGTAACAGTTTATTACAGTGTCTCTCATGATTAACTGTAACAATTTGTTACAGTAATCACAGAGGCACTTTTCTGAATTGACCTTCTCAGAAACATCTAAAACATTAAACTTTACCGCCATTTTACTTTTGGTTCAACTAGTAACTTGGTAATATTTAGTCTTCTTTTTCAAGAAATGAAGGTTTACTTCGGAATTTTTAATTAAGAATGATAGCCTTTTTACTTCAATTTGCAACGTAACGTAACTTTGCAAAGAGAAAAGTTAGTACAGGTTTTGATTGCTGTATATGCAATGTATATACGTTATTTTATTACTTCAAAAATTATCATAAATATGTCACCAGCTAGTTTTAAACTACATGTTATTCCAAATTCCTTAATTCAAAACAGAAAGTATAAAAGGAAAGCGGGTCTGTAGGTGGTTTGTTGTAAGGCTAGATTTCTGTCCCTGTCCATTATACCCCTGTTTAAATTTCTTACCCTTCATTCCGGCCCACCTTCTATTACAGGACCTACCTATTGTAATAATGATTAATTTTTTTCTCATCCTGAAAATGCATGAAATATTTGTCACTTGACGTAAAGTAAACAACAATTAATAAACCATCATTCGGAAAGCTTCAGTAAACCTTCCCATAGCGACACCTATCAGCTGCTACATTGTTTTGTCGTAAATGTTATAAAATCAGTCGTATCAGAAGCTAAAGTTGGCTGGATTTGCTTGGAATGAGAGAATGAAATATTTGAAAAACTGTAATCTAGTTGAAATATTTGAAAAACTGTAATTTATTCCAAGTCATCTTAAAAAATGTAATAAAAAGTGTATGTCAGCTTACTGATAACGGTGTAAACTATCCGTATTTTTATTCTGAATTTTCATATAAATGTTCAAATGTGATACGGTTCCTGCCTCAATAATCTATGTTGGTACGATAACGATCCAAAAAAGAGGGGGCACGGGATACAGGATATGAATTTGTTCTAAGACTATTATACATTTGAAAACACTTTAGTTGTTTAGGGTCTGATACAGAATTTTTAATAGAGAAACTTAATTACAGAAAAAGTAATATAAACTTTTTTGACGATGTTATGCCACAAAATTATATTTTTCCGATCAAAATAGGTGTCGTACACCCTCTATGCCCTTGAATTCTCCACTGCTAATTCACGTGTTAATTCATCTCAGGTTCCATATCGTTGTTTTACGGTCGTCAGTGACCGGCACGATTACGCTACGGAACATTTTGTTGTACACGTCCTTACGCCTACTATTGTTATCTTAAATTTTTTAAAATAAGGTTATCTGAATTTAAAATATATCAAGACAGATATGTATTAAAACAGCTTCATCATGCATGTAATAAAAGTTGCAATTAAAAAAATGCGTAATTTTGACAGGTTTGTATTGACCTACTGAGACATCGAAAGAGAGTTGAGGATTGAATTGCGCTTTTTGTGCATCAAATACATTAATTTGTAAATGACGTGCAATGTACTTAAAAGTAATTGATCGTTATGACAGACCATTTCGTTCCAGGGAAAATTACCTTAATAGGTCGGTGTGTTTGAATGGTGAGTTTGATATCAGACAAGTTCGATGCGGTATGCAATGGTCTTGTCATGTTATAAACCAACAAGTAAATCTTGAAAATATCTTATTCCAATCTGTAAAATAGTCATTTAACATAGTATTTTTAAAACTATGTGACACATAGGTGCCTTTGATATCAAAATCAACATAAAAAAGATTGAGAAACAAGTTGGAGTTTTTCTTATCATATACTTATAGATTATCGTTGGTTATCTCAACGAGATTGATTTTCTCGCTTGAGCCGGTACGTCGAAAGTGAGAAAAGCAATCGAGTTGAGATGACCAATGATAATCTGTTTATCGCTATTTTACCTATGAAGACGTTGATAATTTCCTTGACAACGGAACGTGTTCTCTTAGTTTCTAGCGATAATTTTCATATCACTCGACTCCGCTGAGAACGGAAATTATCAGTCAGCAAGATCAAAGGAAAAATTCGTAAAATAGCGATAAATATATATACAAGTCTAAATTGAAAACAACGTACAAACCTTTGATTGCGTTGTATAAAAACCGCAATATTTATACGTGTGCATGCAAAACAAATTTCTTGGTAGAGGGGTCTAAATACAGCACAAACAACATTTTCCAAAAGACCAAAAAAGTGAAAAAGTATTATATTTTAACAAAACGCATTTGACTAGCAGGTCGAACAACGGATGTTCTTAAACCCCGCTGACTGCCATTGGCGATTGCCAAATAAACGGATCACCAGATGTAACAAAATGGATCTTAACTATTAATTTAATACCAAACAGAAAACAATAAACTTGCGGAAAAGATGGTATACCGCAAACAAAAGGTGCAAAAATTAGTACACCATATCCGGATTTCGACAATTAATGTCTCTTCAGTGATGTTAGGAATCGAAACGGTATTTGGAAGGCCATATAATTTACCTCAATTTATATATATATATATATATATATATATATCTTTTCTTTTATTTTTATACAACAAAAAATACAAGTACAAAACAAACTTGAATTTTAGCCAACAAATTCCGATAATTAGCAGTCCAGGATTGTAAATGTGCTCTCACACAATTTAATATCTTCATTTAAAGGGAGGCTCAGTGATATTTATTTAACCCTTAGCTAGACCAGTGGACACTACGATTTAAATTGACATGTGTTCGTGTAATCTCAGAGATGATGATTTTGTTTGCAAAAATAGTCAGACCAAAAGAAAACAACATCACACCACTTGCATGGTGACAGAAAAACTTTTTAGTAGTAGAGTCTGAGGATTTTTATTTACCATAAATCCAAAGGGAATCCCCAGATTAAAAAATATCGAAAAAAGTCCCGGAAATATATGAATAGAAACTGTTAACATGACTTCAAACTGTTTAATCCCCCGATATAAAAAAGAAGATGTGGTATGAATTCTTATCAGACAACTCTCCACAAGAGACCAAATGACACAGAAATTAACAACTATAGGTCACCGTACGGCCTTCAACAATGAGCAAAGCTCATACCGCACAGTCAGCTATAAAAGGCTCCGAAATGACAATGTAAAACAATTCAAACGAGAAAAATAACGGCCTAATTTATGTACAAAAAATGAACGAAAAACAAATATGTAACACATAAACAAACGACAACCACTGAATTACAGGCTCCTGACTTGGGACAGGCACATACATACAGAATGTGGCGGGGTTGAACATGTTAGCGGGATCCCAACCCTCCCCTAACCTGGGACAGTGGTGTAACAGTACAACAAAAGAACGAACTATAAAAATCAGTTGAAAGAGGCTTAACTCATCAGATGGATAAAAATACAAATACTACAAATACAAGTGGAGGTGGCCGGATACTTGTACATCCAAACAACAAAAAGACACTAAGTACAGATCTGGGAGTACTCGCAGTTACTGACAGCTAGTTCAAAGTCACTAACAACTAATAAAAAAATCATGCATCTAAGACTAAATTATCAATCCGTACACATCCAACATCCAATGGATTTAGTGTAAAGACGTCATAAACAGTCAAAGAAAAACATGACCTTGTGCAATGCCAAGATACAGGTATCGACAGATTGTAGATCCATAAATGTGTATATGTATATAACAATAATATTTAGTTTGCTTTTAATTTACTGATAACAAAGTCAATATTAGTACCAATAAAAACACTATTTAATGATCTAATTACAGTGTTGAATTGGTAACCTTTTAGAATAAGTTTATTTAAAGGATCGATAAGTTTACCAGGATCGTTTCTAAATTTCCGGGCACGGAATATATGCCGTTAAAATGAGGATGTGCAATCCCGTTTGAAATAAGTTTTCTACAGGTACAACCAAACTTCAAAACCAAATCTTTATATCTGTGGAAGAATTTAGTAAAGGTTTTAAGTAATTTTTGGTAACGAAATTCCTGGCTTAATAATTTACCAGTAATACATAGATTACGTTCGTTAAAATCAAAAACGTCACAACAGACACGGGCATAGCGAACGAGTTGTGAAATATGAACACCGTAAGATGGTGCCAAAGGAACATCACCATCCAAAAAGGGAAAATTAACAATAGGAAACGAAAAATCGTCCCTTTTGTCGTAAATTTTAGTGTGGAGTTTCCCGTGTAAAATCGAAATATCTAAATCTAGGAAAGGACAGTTGTTACCGTTTAAATTTGATTTATTTAAAATCCAAAGGGAATCCCCAGATTAAAAAGTATCGAAAAAAGTCCCGGAAATATATGAATAGAAACTGTTACCATGACTATAAACTGCTTAATCCCCCGATGCCAATTATATTACAAGACTACTCGGCAAAATCGAGTTTCGCTCGTTTTGATCGGAGGGAGACCGCGAACGTATGTCGTCAACACTGAGATCACCTGTGAAGAATGGGCCGGCATATGTTTTTGAATCAACAGGCAACAGTCTGACAAGCATTGTTACCGTTTTTAAAAATACGTCCTTAATGTGAATGGACCGCAGTATCTCTAAACGTCGAATAGACTTCAGCCGGACGACAGCGAGACATCTTGAGCCTATTGTGTTTAATTTGTGAGAGAACGATGCAGACCGTGGACATTCCATGACTTTCTACATGACTTTAAATGAGTTCGATTTGATCGAGAATAATATGAAAGTTATAAGAGGCCTGCAAAGATAAGGAACAAGGCAAGGTGAACCGAGGAAACAGCACGAACACCAAACTTTAGTAGTTGTATGAAATGAATCCCCCGAAATCGGAAATCTACTTTTTCAATCAGATGTTGGTGGTTTATGTCATCATCATCACATCGATCGTCAACCTGGCAATGTAAAGCGGAAAGAGCGAATCGTTGATCAGTCTATTGAGCAGTCCCATAGACTACGCTCTACCAATTCCCACACTTGAGGCGACGAAAACATAAGAAGGATCCGGGAAGACCATCCTTTATCATGGTGTTCCCGTTTTACCGTCTTCTATCATTTACATTAGCGGACAAAAGGGTTGTGGAAAAATCGTTTCGCTTACAAGCTGTTGCAACAACTGAAGGACATGTTCGAAGGCCCTGTGGAAGAAATTCAATCATATTTACGGAACATATCCGCCCCTTTTCAGCAAGATGGAAAAAGACGATCCCGCTTAACGTGTCTCAAAGGCATACAATCGATGGAAACGACTAGAAAAAAATACTGCGGATAGACGTTACTAACTAATCGTGTTGGACAACCTGATGTATTAAAGTCGACATGGAGCTCTTGATCATGTGAGGATGTCACCAGCAACGGCTCTTTGTCACGGTTCTGACTAAGAACATACAAGTCAATTGGGACAAAACAATATTAGCTATACATTTGTTTATATATATTTAATTAACATTCAATGCATAGTACGGAGCAAATGATTTCAAAAAGACAAATTAGTAGATAATTGAAGAAAAAATTCTCACTTATAAAAAATGTTGATCATCTGACAAAAAATTTGCACCTCTAGCCCTAGCAAAATGAATATTTTGAAGAAGACAAAAAAAAAAATCAATAAAAAGAAAAATAATCTGATCGTGAAGTAATAAGTCTAGGACATCTGTTACATTCAGACGTGTTTAGCCTACTATAAAAATAAGAAGATGTGGTACGATTGCCAATGAGACAACGCACCAGACACTAAATGACATAGAAGTTACTAGTTTGTCATTATTTTTATATTTCAGACTGAATGTCGATTTAAATTCAGATTATGAGCTCGAGAATAGACAATTGCAAATATAGTGGTCAGGTTAAATACCTGAACAGGGTGTAAAAGTTACTGATAAGGTGTTTCTAAATAATAGTATATCTGTATGCTCCTATTATTGTTTAAATCTATTTTCTTTTTCTTTATACATTATCAAAGAAAAACTACATCGTATTATTATCCTATTCATGAACAGGTACTACACTTATTACAAACTGGACGACAATTATTTTTATATTGTTAAGTTTCCTTCCCTTAATTGTGATGTTCAGCCCTTATTTTCTCAATTGTGTGTTGTGTAGATAATGTGAGCGTTTCTAGAACATCTCAAATTTTATTAAACGTCACAGTTTCATTACTTAAAAAAAAAAGTTTACTTTCAGACATTTCAACCTACCCCTAACCTAAACCATTTGCGGAAATTGATGCGCTATTCATTGGCATATGGTTGTACATATCCGAATATATAAAAAGTGGTTAATTCAATACAAAAGTAACTACGAAAGATGAAATCAATTAAAGAAATCAAAATCAGCACTAAGTTATATAAAATGACAAAAATAATATTATTCGAATGTTGGATAGTCTAAAAATTAATAAATAAAACTTCTTACTTGTTTGTTCCTCTCACGCGTGATGCTGTTTAATATTCTTGTGAAAACCAAGATAAATGTGTTGACTCTTCTGAATCAGATGTAGTAAAATAACAATGTTACTGAGGTATTATTATAAATAACTGATAAAATTACGTATCTTCCGTATCTTAATATTGTTTATAATTTGTCTTGGGGACAGTGGATAATAAACCATTCCTTCCATTTGATAAAATATTATAACTACTGTATTAAAGGATTTAATTTGTTTGTATTTAAAATTACACCGAAAATAACGATGATAGTTCCAGAGGTATTTTAACGATCGTGAATGTTACATAGTTTTGTAAAGAGAAAAGTCATTATTTTGAATGAAATAGATTATATTTAATTAAGTAGGCGGTGTGGGTAAAAACACAGCGTTGACTAGATGTTGATATTGTTAAAGTATGCAATGATAAGAATTTGGGTGCATGTTCTTAATTTCACGTTACAAATTTTAATTAAAAGTTATTTGTTATTATAGATGTTCGAATTTGAACGTATGTGTATCGAAAGTCGAATGAAACAAGTACGTTGTGAACCTGCTTTGAAAAAAAATCCAAAAAGAAGCGAAAGATACCAAAAGGACAATTAAACGGTTAATTGGCGCTCTGGCAAGGCGCTTTCTAACAACATAATAGATTAATACACCATATCATGTCTGTTGTGATATACACGTATTTACAAGCGGAAGAGTGTATGTATAATAGAAATTCGCTCCATAAATTGCATAGACGACACTAGACTGGTACCTGGCCGTTATTGAAATATTTGTATATTCCGAAGGCATACTGAATATTTTACGGAGGGAACCAACCTAAGAAGACACAAGTGTCTCTGGTAAGCAAATTTAAACGCATGCAATAGATACATTGCGCTCACGTGTTTATGAAAATTAATAATCTGCATATGGTTGATCGAGATTAAAACATTGGGAAGCCACATACATACAACAGTTTAAGTTTCACATTAACACTGACCAGTAATAGTTTTAAAACGTTTTAACCTTAACTACGCGTATATACGCATGTTTTTAAAGTAAGCAGATCACAAGAGTCAGTCAAACAATAAGTCCACTAAGGACAAACAGCATAATATCCAAAATTAGACAGACTAAAAGACAATAAAATACCGTAAAGTACTGTACAGCAAACCAATTAATGATTGAGCAACACAAACCTCTTTAAAATCGGAAGTTAACTACAAAACCACTTATTATCTTCTTATTTTTATATACACAAACGAAACCACCAATTTACTCTTGTTTAAATCGGTTTATACATGTACATTTTTGTAAGTTATAACGACTTATACGGCATCACAGTAACAATAAATATTTGCTTATCCTAAATATTACAGAAACAAACGTGATGTACAATGTAAATGATCTAATCCTGATACATGATCGAAACTGTTTGTGGATATAACTCTATTTTGTGGCTTTTTATTTCGTAAACTATAATTACTATAATTCTATCTATAAAGGCTTGATCTGATCCATAACTTGACTAGGCTTGACTTCAAGCATCATTTTGGGTGCTGAGATATAAAGGGACAAATTAGTGTCAATTTTGATGTCTTGTCAGGATGGCCGAGTGGTCTAAGGCGCTGCGTTCAGGTCGCAGTCTGGTTCTCCAGGCGTGGGTTCGAATTCTACTTCTGACAAATTGTATATTTTTATTGGCACCTATACATGTTACTGACATCTGACAGTTTAACCATTGAAAAATATGTTTAACACAATACCGCAAGTTCTTAGATGCACAAAACCTGTTTTTAATGCAAAGAACCTCTTTGAATCTCGTTTCTAAACGAGGATATTCTCTTAAATTGACATGCAAGAAGTGTTTTATCGAAGCAATTACTATAATTCTATCTATAAAAGCTTGATTTGATCTAGGACTCTAACTAGGCTTGAATTGAAGCATCTATTTGGGTGCTGAGATATAAAGGGACAAATTAGTGTCAATTTTGATGTCTTGTTACTTTATTGCAACAGTGTACGACTTATTCAAATTGTATTTTTCATTAGACAAAATCTTACAAAGGTTACTTATGCATGCATGGCACATTTGTATACGCATGACTTACCTTCAACAATGACTAAAAGTGCTTAATTAATAGTTACAAAGACCACCATAGTAATGCTTGGGACTACATAGAAACTTTTTAAGATTCGAATAACACACTATTTTTGCGTAGAAAATGTACGTAAAACTGGTTAAAGTTAAGTGTTTGTGGTTCGTGCTACACTGTATCTGTTTGTACGTTTTTTTGTATTTTTAATAATATTTATTGCTTAAAAGGGGAAATATAGTTTTATCCACGCTATCGCCTGTTTCGTCGCTTATAAAAATTAAGAATATATACTTGTGAAAAACAGCAACTAACAACAAGAATAAGAGTTATACAATTAGAGAAAGAAACAAAAAATTAAATTAGAAATTATGAAAACAGTAGTTTTGCTGACCAAATTATTTTTGCAGTTTGCAAAGCATTGGCTCTATAAGAATACACTCATATAACTTGATTGTATTATCTTTGAAGTTTTCAGTTGGTATGTCTATTTGCGCGGTGGGTATAGTATGGTGTCCGGTAGGAATTATGTATTTTCTAGTGCAGACCGGGTTTTATCGAATGAAATTATGTGCGAAAAAAAAATCGATTTACTCTTATTTCGCAAGTATATCAGTTGTATCCATGATTGCAAAACTTATTTTCAATTATATACTAGTTTAAAGCACAAACGATTTTTTCACTTAAAACACAACTATTTACATCGTGTGGGTATTTTCACGTTCTATAGTTTGAACGTCCGTCTTTTTACTGGTCGGGGTCATCCATCAGCAATAAAATGAAAGTAAGAAAAAGCAAAAGAGAACTCCCACAAATACCTGGGGCTGAACTCAATTGCTCCGGAAGGGTCACTTGCTCCACTAGTGACCCGCTGTAGTTCTCTTGTTAAATCAAATTATGAGTGCAATTGTTATTGAATACAAAAAGTAGATGTGTGAAATCCAGAACTTTGATTGCATTTGTTTTTATTCACAACTATTATGGATCCGAGACGATTGAGCTTAGAATTTTGTATATAAACCTGTTTGCTGTTGAAGACTACATAGTTTCCCTTCTACTTGTCCTGTGGTTGATTTTGTTGTTGGGTTATTGACTCATTGACGTTGACCTTTTTATAAGAGACAACTTCATCCTCATATTTCATAGAAAACATCAGGGATATCTAAAGTTAGTATGTTGCATCGGTCTATTTAATGGTCCAAAGCTTGCACTAGAAGCAAATTGCAACATGAGGCTTCTATGATGTCTATTGCCATGTATGACTTGGGAAAATAAATAATTTAGTCAAACTAGCATCATGATGGTGTGTTCAAAACACACGACCAACTATTACATATGCTAGATCGGATTTTTCTACACAAAAGTGTAAAATAAAATAAATGCTAGCTAGAAATATAGTAAATGAAAATATTACTCTGTGTATCCTGTCAAAAGAATTTAGATATTCAACGAAGATGTTTTCTGTAAGATTGTATGCAAACTTCGGTAAACACATGGACTCTAATAACTTCTAATACACGATGATTTTTCTTCAGTGGTACCTACGCAAATAAATGATTCCACAGGATTAACTTTTATTTTTAGTTTTGACATTGTAAGTGAAAGAAATTCAGAGAAGCATGGCCCTACCTTTTTAGTGCTCCTAGTTATGAAAATGAGTTATGTCCCTTTATCTTATAAAATAAATAAATATTCTGTATTGTACAATGGAATCTTACTGAATGGTACGGAAACAGAGATTGTCCCATATTGTCAATTGATGATTCATTTTAAGAAGATGTATTCAAAGTTAAGGGCATATTGAATTAATTAATGACTTACAGGAAATCTGTACTCTTATAAAGATGTCCTACTTACATTAAATCTTCTTCTACATATTTAAACCAGTCTTCTTAGTCTAAAGTGTAAGTTTATAATTAGCAAATATGAAATTTCACAAAAAGTAGAAATTTTTAGATAAAAACCGGGAAGTATTATAGATTCATTGTAATTTGTCTAGTGTACAAAAACCTAAAGAAGTCAGGCGGACAAATTTCCTTCGGTTAGTCATACGATTCAGTTAAGTATCAATTACCCCCTATATAACGTGTTGTCTTTGAATTAAAGGCTCACTGTAAACATTTTAAAAATTTTTTGTGTGCATTCCAATGTGAAGTTTAAAGTTAAAACATGCTGAAACAGCTGGTATTTAATAAAAATATTTACTCGTCTATCTGTCTGATGAATACCAACGTTATCTCATTATATTTCAAGTTGCTTTTCAAAGAGAGGTAAAAGACACCAAAGGGCTATTCAACTCATAAGTCGAAATCAAACTGACAATACCTTGGCATCCAGTTATCATTTTATATTGATTTAAGCAGATTCTTTTTATGTCAACGACACAGCATTCCAAACAACACAGTGTCGCCAAAAGTCCCATAGGTCGCCATACGGTCGTCATTAAAGATAAGTAAGTACCCACAACATATTTATCAAGCTCCAAGTTGCCCCTGATTTAGCATGTCGTGAAGAAAACAATAGTAACTACCATAAATTTCCCATGAACAACAAATTCTAAATAGACAGAATACGAAGTAACAACTAGTGGTTAGGTTCCTGACTTAAGGTGGTACCAAATACCTTGACTAAAATTAATTTGGCTCGTTTAATTTTCATAAAATTTTGACAAAATATTAACTTTGACCCTTTGAAAAAAATATAAAAATTTCAAAAAACTTGAACCACACAATTTATTGGAAAAATTTCATTGGATATATAGCAGTTTGACAAACACTAATTTTGATCATTGAGAAGCTTAATATTTCCTTAAGAATAGAACGTGATTACGTTCAGCTGAATTTTACAGAGTTATCTCCCTGTAGTGTTATGTACCACCTTAAGACGTGAACAAATACATTTCACAGAGTTTTACTGTATTATGATTTCCCAATTTCCCAAATTATTGTTAAAAACGACAGCAAAATACGTAGATTCAAACTTTATTTAGAAGTAAACAAAAGATTTATTTATATAACGGTATTCCTGAACGTAGCTACTGAATATAACTATCGATCAAGGGATGATCATTATAGGCGAAACAGGCTTAGGAACTACATCTGCTGACATTGAAATCAAGCTTTGCACAGTGTATTTTGGTCACTTAACTAACAGATTTGAGGTAAGTATAGAAAACAATGCAAAGGACGGACGTTTTCTTGAGATGCATTTATAAAAACACAGCCATAAACGGTTAGAATGGGGGAATTTATATCCGAAGGGTCGTGGAGAAAGCTCTCTGTACGCTATACGTCGAAATTCTCTTTTAAGTCTACTAGTAGTCTGGTCGACCCTACCTTTGATTTATGTCTTGTCCTCTTCCTGAATACGCGAGCAATATTTGCCACTTAATGTGTAGCAAACAATCAATGATAGAAATGAAATAAATTGCTCACTGTACTTCGAAATGTATATGCAGTACGTAAATGTATGCTATAATTATTCTAAGAATCATGATTTATTGCAATACTGAGAGAATATAAATCAAGCTATCCAAAATACAGAAAGAGACAGACACATTGTTTAAAAATCTCAGTTTTGATCATATAGCCCCTAACGTTTCTACATTTTTATACATCTTTGAAATGTATATGTTTGATAGTTTCTGATGCAGGAAAGTCCAGAAAAGCGTTTCGGACGCAGGAACTGTATAAAATGCTATTTCCGTTTGATGTAAGAATTAATATTACTCTTAAGAAATAATAAAAAAGAAAAACATTTGTCAATAAGTTTATTTAGCAAAAAAAAAAAAAAAAACAAAACAAAACAAAACAAAAAATATCATAAGGAAAAATGCCTCAATTTACATAATTTATTGCGATGTACTAATCATTCTTCCATGATTAGACCCTTTATTAGGGGGAAAGTAAGAATTTGACGGTAAGTAAAAGTTTTGATATTAAAATCCTCGATGAAAGACATACAAGTTTTCGTCCATTGACTCTCAAATGGTAATGCAAAGAGGGAAAAAGCATATCACATTTGCACAATTCAGGAAAATTGACATAATATCAGGAAAATGAACGCCGTCCCGTTTGTCATACATCTAGACATCATTTTTCAAAACGCTTGTCTGAGTACTTCCTGTGTTTCATGTGTTTCAGTTGTTATGTTTATTTTCCTACGAACTATTTTTTTTAATGGGAGTGAACCATGCAATGACTACATAACAGTATGTAACACGTTCTTTTTTTATTTCTAACTTTGTAGTTTTTGATTATTTTTTTCCGTACCATGCAGTTTGGGGTTTTCTCATTGTTGAATGCCGCATGGTAACCTTTAGTTGTTTACATCAATGTACCTCGGTCTTTAGTCGCATTGGTCCATTGGCCATCATATCACATCCTAATTTTTACTGTATAACAAAAAGATTAACTTATTACTTCGAAAGAGCTTTGTTCATTATAAAAATGAACATAGAAATTATGCAAAACAGTAAAAACATGTGATAACAAAAATAATATAAAAACAAAAACAAAAATAAATCATTGAATACAACAGTGAAAAAGTCAGAGTATAAAAAGTTTTGTCCATAACAAATCAATGATTTCTACAAGCATCAGTGCAATATGCACTTGGTGGACACTTATTCTTGTTGCATTCGGAAACACAGTAGTCGTCGGCATACGGATACATACTTTTGAACATTGGGGTTGCCTGGCATGTACCCACATTTTGCCCTGAAATGTTCCCAGAAATTTCTATATCTGCACAGCCATAAAATTGTTCTTGTGGTCCACAGCCAGTACAACAATTATGGTTGTTATCACAACGATATGAGTTCCCTGTAAAAAATTAATGGAGTTTTTACTTTCATGTTCTTATTAATTATACATTTATAGGAAGATAAAACAAAAATATACTACAAAGAAACCTGTCAAAACGAAACGAAGACAAATTCCTCTAAAAAAAACTGGCCAAAAGTGCCTTGCTGCTTACATGTACGCCATCATATATTCAACCTTTATAAACCAAACACCTGTCTCAACCAAGCAAATTCGTTAGTTTTACAGGGATTGATTTCGACGGGTTTCAATGTAATTGGAACACTCTCAAGACAGCACTCTGCAATAAGCATCATTATGCAACTTTCGAAAACCTTTGATGAGTATTTTTTTGTATACTTCCAATATTTCTGTGTGTTTGGTTTTCGAATCGTTTGACTGAAAGATACATGATCATGCGTATTGCAAAGTTTTGCACGCGTTTGGCGTACAAAACTATAACAAGGCTTATAGTTTTGAACGTCATGCGCGCGTTTCGTCTACAAATGAATCATCAGTTAAAAGTGTGACGAAAATTACTCAGTTACCCTAATAATGTTAGGAAGTTCTAAGTTTATCTGTTAAGAAGTCGGCAAATGTTTAAATCCGGTGAGTGTTCACATAACAAATTCTACTTTCACTTTCGTTTGTTTATGACGTACGCTTATTACGATTGTAATACGGAAAACAATTTCCGAAGATTTGGTACTGGTTCCGATCCTTCCTAGTTGAAAATTAAGTGTTTGATATTAAAGTACTATAGGCGTTACATTAAAACATAATAATAATACGGAATATATTTATTTCTTTTTTGAGATTATATGCATTTTGGTTAGAGATTATTCTAGTATATAAGTAGAGTTTCTCACAGCGTTAATCAGTTCGGTCGTCAGAGGTCGTAGAGTAAAAACATACAAAAAGGTAACTATAACTATTTCTGAATAAGAAGTAGCTTACCAAGGATCTTTGGTTAAGCTTACATAAGCAAGAGCCAATTGTACTATCTGGATAAGGCGGTGACATATTGTCCTTGGGTATATAATTCAGGTGACAACGTAATACTGTCCCTTTGGACTAGTGACACCTTGGCCCTGAACAAGGACCAGGGGCGCACTGGATACCGTATTTTCATATATTACCTTATAATCAAAGTACTAAAGTACTGTAAGGCAAATAGGTGAACAGTCATATATCTAATTTTGAAGTACGGCTAACTCAAACTCCCAATAAACCGTCCCTTGTGTGGTACTCCATTGTTAGGTTCAGGTTCCAATTTAGTATTCTTACCGGAAGTAATCTTTTTCATTCTCGTTAGGTTTTCATATCTAAGTTTAAGTTAAGTTCGGGATACACGTTACCATTTGTAGGACCCCCTGCACGTTACAAAAGTTCAAATCAAGTACGAAGTTAAAAAGCATTGAGGACCGAAAATTACGAACGGTTTTGCCGAAAACAGGTAAGGTAATCTGCGAACAAGAGTTATGAGCATAGTAAAGATTGTTGATCAGAACGATCTGCAGGCATATACCAGATGATAGAACATTGAAGTCTTTTACTGTGTTCGATTGATTAATCAAAACAGTTAGTTATTAACAAGCATATTTTTTTTTAAATTGCATTTTTAAAGAGTATGTCTTACCTGTATTCCATTTCCATTGTAAAACGCACTGTTTACATGACAACCCCCGAGGAAGTACCAAACGAACTGTATATGTACCAACAGCGCCTGGTTCATTAAACTTTGTTCGACCGTTAGGTTGTTGGAGAAGATATCTATCCAGACATGCGTGTGTGGCTGGTTGACGTTGATTTTTTACTGGACAGAGACGGAACTCAAAGTATCCAAGATGAGTTGCAGTGACTTGGACTTTAACCTCAATTGTCTGTCCTGATTTATAGTGTCCCGTAACAATACCGTTTGCATATTTCCCTCCAGCCTCGTTTTCACGAGCTTCATTCCAAGGGTCTCCACACACTCCACATTTACCACCATTCATATTCCATTGTTGCTGAGAAACAAAAGTACGTTTACATATACATTTCGTCACATCAATAAGGCAAAAAAAAAAAGAGGATCTAATCGACTTGATGTATTCATAACTAAAACTGGAAAGAAAGTTCCCCATGAAAACAGAGAAAGGATATCGAATAACTAGGCGGGAAAATGAAAGAGAATTTGAATTTTAAAACAACAAGTATTGAATCATATAGTATGATACCTTAACATGATCATTAATATGTGCATTGGACAAACTATCAAGACATATATTGGTATCACAGATAAACTTAGATTTCCGAATCCTGTCATTTTGTATCAGAAATAACAGTGTAGGTACTACTTCTTATGTTAAAAATATGGATAACGTACATGTAAGCACTAAGAATCCAATTAATTCATATTCAGGACGAAACATGTTAAATGTGACATTTTCTTATTTGTATTAGACCAAACACATAAAGCGAAATTATGAAAATATTAAATGGCATAGTAATTTTTACCTATTGGAGGGCATGCCCCCCTCCCCCCTCCGAACAACCGGAGCACTAACTACTCCGTCTTTCTAAAAAGCACTCGTCAAATATTTTCATTAACATATCGTAAGCTTCTTATTAACACAGTTTATTTTAATACGTATCCCATAACAGCATTGATGAAGCTGCCCATGGTAAACACAATACTGATTTAAAGAGTTATCTAGTATAACTCAGGTGCTACATTTCTAGTTAAGAACTAGATTAAGCATTTAGTTTGTACTGCTTATTTATTTCACTTGCCATTTCTTATACTAAGTATTGTATAACTTTGATAAAATTGAGAATGGAATTGGGGAGTGTGTCAAAGAGACACCAACCCGACCATAGAGCAGACAACAGCCGAAGGCCACCCATGGGTCTTCAATGCAGCGAGAAACTCCCGCACCCGGAGGCGTCCTTCAGCTGGCCTCTTAACAAATATGTATACTAGTTCAGTGATAATGGACGTCATACTAAACTCCAAATTATACACAAGAAACTAAAATTAAAAATGATACAAGACTAACAAAGGCCAGAGGCTCCTGACTTGGGACAGACGCAAAAATGCGGCGGGGTTAAACATGTTTTTTGAGATCTCAACCCTCCCCCTATACCTCTAGCCAATCTAGAAAAACAAACGTACAACAGTACGCACAGTAAAACTCAGTTTAAGAGAAGCCCGAGTCCGATGTCAGAATAGGAAACAAAAGAAAATAAACAAAATGACAATAATACATAAATAACAACAGACTCTTAGCAGTTACTGACATGCCAGCTCCAGACCTCAATTAAACTGATTGAAAGATTATGTCTTCATCATATGAATATCAGGCACAATCCCTCCTTAGGGGTTTAGTATTATACCGTCATAAAATATATGAGAAGAACATAACCCGTTTCATGCCAACAACTGGTTTTAGAATAAATATGTTTAATTCCGATGCAAAGACCCTATAAGTGAATCAATATTAAAGCCAAAATATGCAATCTTTAATGACCTGACAACAGTATCGTAACTATATCCCTTCTTAATAAGTCTGTTTAAAGGTTTTGTTAGCTTTTGAGGTGAATACTGACATTTTTGTGCTTTGTAAAGAATATTACCATAAAAGATTGGATGTGAAATACCCGAACGTATAAGATTTCTGCATGTTGAGTTATATTTACGAATGATGTCCTTATACCGATGATAAAATTTAGTAAATATTTTGACTAGTTTATGATATCGAAAACCCTGGTGTAATAATTTTTCAGTAATACATAAATTTCTCTCGCTAAAATCTAATACGTTGTTACATACACGAGCGAATCGTACAAGTTGAGATATATAAACACCATAAGATGGTGACAAGGGAACGTCACCATCTAAAAATGGATAATTAACGATAGGAAATGAAAAATCATCTCTTTTATCATAAATTTTTGTATTAAGCTTCCCGTTAATGTGTAGATATCAAGATCGAGGAAAGGACAGTGGTCATTGTTAGTATTAGCTTTATTTAAAGTAAGTTCAACAGGATAAATTTCCTTAGTATACATACTGAAGTTGTCATTATTGAGGGCCAATATATCATCCAAATATCTAAAAGTATTGTTAAATTTTTGTATCAGATGTTGTTTCGATGGGTCTTTACTGATTTTAGTCATAAATTGTAACTCAAAACAATACAAAAACAGGTCTGCAATAAGTGGTGCACAGTTAGTCCCCATTGGAATTCCGATAACTTGACGATATACGAAATCTCCAAAATGAACAAAAATGTTATCAAGTAAAAATTCAAGGGCAGATATAGTATCAAAGCATGTCCAATTGACATAGCTCTTTTGTTTGTTGCTACTAAAAAATGACCTAAACATATGTATTCGCATTCCGACTTTTTAAATGCCCATTAATTAGGTGTGTGAATTTTTTTCTTAATAAGAATATGAGGCAAATATGCATGCAATTTATCAAGTACTTCCAACGAGTTTTTGACACTCCAAAAGTAGTTAATTCCACTATTTTCAAAGGTCTGATTTGAACAATTTATTATCAGGTTTTTGATTGTACCAAGTGTACTAGTAAGTAGAATAGACAATTTAGTAGTGGAACAATGACTTGAAGACGAAATAAATCTATATTTGTCAGGTGATTTGTGTAGCTTCGGAAGCCAGTACATAGTTGGGACTTTCATTGTATTTGGTTCTGCTTGTAAAGAAGTAGCTAATAGTTTATCTTTGTTACAGATATCGTTTTCTGAAAATGAAGTCAGTTGGAATATTGGTGAATTCATGATTTCCTTTTGCAGAACCTCAATGTAAAATTTACGTCAAACTATAATGATATTATTAGCAGCTGTATCAGCCGGGACAAAAACAAATTCCTTGGCTAGTTCTTTTAGTTTATGTTTGATACGAGAGATAGGATGTTTATGGTTGTTGTAAAATGTTCTTTAAAATGTTGTATACGTATATCAACTATCTTCATTACTGAATTAAAAAAAGAGTCCAAAGACTTTTTGTCAGCTTTTTCCCGTTTTATCCATTTCAAACAGTAAGCACGAAGTGAGTCGTGGATGATATTACGACACTCATTCCAATTAATAATTGACGGGGGACGATATTTAGGTCCTTTACTGAGGAATGATTTTAACTCTCGGTCGCGAACGATGTTAAGGTCTCCTGTTATAACAAGGGAAATGGGGCCATAAGTGTATTCGGAATTACTACAATTACATGACGGAGGTGTATTTTCACTGATATTTACATCTTTACAGACTTGGCTATAATTAAACACAAATTTTCGGGTAGATTTCTTGTAAATATACCAAATAAGAGGGAGTTCAGTATTATCAAAATATCCAGGAATTTGTTCGTTAACAGAATTGTCGTTAAAAATACCGGCAATATTTACAAAATCAAAACCTTTATTGACATACTTTATTTTAATAAAATGTTTTTTATGATCTTCAGGTCGATCAATTTTGGGAAACTGTTTAGAATAACAATATGCCATTATAATTTGAACGATTTCATACTTAGGACTGCAATATGAAATTGTGTTGCAATCCTCTAAAATTTTATTTAATTTATTTATAGGTAAAGAACAGAGCTTGGTTAATAGATAATGTCTGCCGTTGTTTTTTGAAATAGAAATTAGGTCCGAAATATTTGTATGGTTGGTCCGAAATTTTCTTTGATTGCGATTTTTTTTCTACGCCCATGAGAACGGTTTTTACGAACAGTTTTAGAAACTATATCCAAAATGTTAACAGAATCGGTTCTTGATATATTACCAATTCCCATGATATTTTCATTAAGACCGAGAGGGTAGACTGTCTGTAATTTTTTTATCCAATTTAATTCAATTATTTTCCGCGATCGTACAAACTTTGAATGAGATTCACCAGGCTGCTTACTTACTACTTCTAAAGGTTGAACTGTTAAATATATGTATCTGGATACTTACACTGAAGCCACCACAATATAATTGGTTATCGTTGTAATTTTTAGGTGTTCTGTATCCATAACGCCACATCGTAGATCTTCCGGGAGGAGAAACGAGTCTTCCGTGTCCCAGAACAGATGCAGTTAATGCGATCATTACTGTTATTTGCAGCAACATATTAATGTCCTGAAAAAAAATATTACAAGTAATACTTAATAAATACCCTTTTTCACATTTTGTAAGAATTTATCTTAGCATGTCCATTGTCAAGATAATTAACAAGTGTTGACAATGTATAAAACTTTTCTTAGGTATATAATGGTTTACACGTCTTGCATATAAAGCTACTATGTTTGTCGTATTATTTAGAAGTTATATTACTATCAAATGTTTTACATAAATTGTTTTGTGCACCATTGCTTGTAAAAACGATTATATAAAAAGTATATAGTTTTATTTTCTTCTATTAAATGCTGAATATTGCAACGTATTTCTGTTTGAATACAATGTTCCATGTGCTTCCCTATTTATAGAAAAGTAACGGATATTCCAGATAATCAGTGAAAATTAATGAGTTTACTTTTAGATAATTCATACTTTAATCTCTTCGAAACGTACGAATTTTTGAGTAAATAATTGATTGAACTTCTCTAGTGATCTGCACTTATTTTTTATCTATTCGAGGTGAAAAAGATAGGGAATGAGAGAAAATGTTTAAGTAAACACTCAGTTTAATTATTAGAGTTTTGCTTTTGTTTTTAAATAATAAAAAAAATAAAACTTTGTGACATTAATGGACGAATCTGATAAAGTCGATATCCACATATGACCTGAAAATATTTGTCTGTAATTTAACAGTAATACAGTTGCATAATTACTAACTGTGATTTTTTTTCATGTAGCAACATTCCAGTAGCGCCTGCATATCGAGTATAAATCTCCTTGTTGATACAATATTTCAGAGCTTGCCTTTTCTATCATTTGAAGATAGATATTTGCCGCTTTCTAGGCAGCTATTGAACCACGTGGTCCAAGTGGTACCTTCGATTTTTTTTGGCTGAGCGTTATGAAATTAGTTGCAATATTCTAATTTACAAATATAAATCATTTTATCTGCTATTGTTCGGAATTTAATAAATTCAAATTTCTATCTAAATTGAAATAATTACACGATATAGACTGAGTTAGCAAACACCATAATTAAACGACCAAATGAATATTCTTGCACTTGGAAGTATATTTCATTTAATATATGAAAGCTTGAACAGTAAACTAACTGTTGTGGTCTTCAATTGATGACTGCTAACCGCTTGTTTCATGTTGTCTAGAAGAAAGAGAACTAAATTGTTTTCTTGTGATCTGACAAGGACTAGGAAGTAAAAAGTGTAATTACAAATCGCAAACAAGATAGCGAACAATTATCTCTTTATGTTTTCCTCGCTCGTATTCACGCAAAAAAAAATGTGTTAAAGACATGTCTGCATTTGAAGAAATGCGGAAGTTGTATCACACTTGACATTCAAAATTTGAGACAAGAAATATTTTTAGACCACCTCTTTTTCTACTTTTTCTGCCGTAAATCTGTATAAACCGGTAGCAAAATTTTTAAACGTAAATTGTCATATAACATTATTATATTGCACTATGATGATATATTTGTTTGGAGAGGATCATTATTCGGCAAAACAATGATTTTTACGACCAGGCTTTCCTTTAAAACCCGCCAGTGCTCTGCTAAATGAAGAAAATATCCAATGACTAAATGTAAACCGGAAGACACTCAACTGACCTTAAAGGACATTAAAACATGCCAAACATTATCACCAGACTAATCTTTGATAACAAAACAATTTCACTTATCAATAAGAACATCAGCAGTAAGATGAACGCTGTAACCTCCAAATCAATGAGTAATGCATGCAGATATTATTTTATCTGGGAAACAACGGAACTATTTTGCTTTATGGATGATGCTAACAGGATTTGGAAATAGTTTTGACTACACAAAGATAATAATTATCCTTTATCTTATAGTATATATTAAAAATCTGCACCAAAGCAAGTTCACTTTGTACCTAGATAAATCTCTCAAAACATCCAATAACATTACTGATTTTTTTTATGTTTACTGCCATTATAGAACCACATGATAGGTGGTGCCAAGGGGCGGATTAAGCCAATTTTAAAAGAGGGGGTTCTCAACCCAGGATAAAGGGGGGGGGGGTTCCAACTATATGTCCCCATTCAAATGCATTGATCGTCCAAAAAAGGGGGGTTCCAATCACCGGACCCCCGTGGATCCGCCACTGTATCTTAAAGCAAGTATGATAAAAAAAATACTTCTGTCCACTGCAAATTGACTTTTTTTTCATTCAATGTCAATGTTCACAATTTTGAAGCATGTATTGTCTACATTTTCTTTTTTTTCCATATTGTATTTTAATGAAATGCAAAGTTAAATTCTATTGTAACACAAGTTCTGCTGACAAATGGCTGATGAACCCCTCTTGTATGTAATTTTTTGACATGAAATCAAATATATTTTTTCTGTTATATGGAATAATCCCCACTCTCTTTATAAGAGACCTAGATCTGCTTTTCTCGGAATTTGTTACATCAGGAAAAAAAAGGCTACCAATAATCATGCCTGACGATCATTGAGGTCACACATAAAGAACCCATCTCTTTGCAGATCATAGTAGAAAAACAAAGATAGTTGGTAACATAAATGTATTGTTTAAAAATATCAAGAGAAACATTCCCATACAGAATCTCTGTCAATAAGTTATTTCTCTACTCTTAACAGTGAAATCTTAAATATGTATATTGATCGGCAAGCCTCGCATCTTGAAAACTAAAATGTCTGGAGGAGAGAACTATAGTTTCACAATTGATGTTGGGTTAGAATGTATAATATCACTCTTTTCCCCCCATATGATCAGCATACAAAGTAACAAAGAATCTATAAGTTCTTCAGTCTAAATAACTCGGTTAAATCTCATTTCTGATGCAACATTTTCAGTGCACCAGATTAAAAACTTTCTATTTTATATACTTATTTATATATAAAAACTAAATTAATTGAAGTCTAATTTTAGAGTGAAATTTATATTTAAAAAAACTGTTCTATAAACAACCAACATGTACAAACACTGAGTTTATTTTCATATCCTTTCTAAGAATATTGATACAAAGCAAGTAAAACTTGTATCATTCCATCTTCCAAAAGGGTGTTTGAGAATATCCAATAAGTCCAAGTTTCAGAGAAAAAAGTCGGTTATCTACAATTTTCTTCTTTGGAAGTTTTCTAAAACCTGTAATTACTTGAAAATGCCGTATTCAACCATTCCATGACTATTTTAAAGTTAAAAGAGTAGAGGAACATGAAATATTGAATAGCTATTCAAGAAAGTGTCGAAATATAACTACAATCATTAATTTTACTCGAATTTACTGTTGTGAACTTGCAATTTCCTACGATGCGTGTACGGAGTTATCTCCCTTTGATCTCCATTTCGCCACGAATAAGCTAACACAATTTCGTGTCCAGTGAAGTTAGGATCAATTATTATTAAAATTTAATGTAAAAAATGGTTTTGCTTCATATTTTATACTCCTCAAAACGTTACCATACCTATTTAAGGAATAATTAGGGATTTTCCATGGACCTACGCAAAATATTCAGAAAAAAGTTTCACTTCACTCATTGATTCAGAATACATTGACAAGACTTTTTAATAATAATTATACAGAATAATGAATCTTATTGACTCAAGATTTGAACACTTTGATTTTTATTAATGTACGAGTACAAATAACACGATACGAGTAAAAAAACCACGAGGCATGCACGTTTACCAAAAAACCGTAAACTCTGACCTTTTGTCACTTGACCAATGTCTTGACCTTAGAAGCCATTAAATCGTTTGCCGTCCAACTGATATAGATTTATCAGAATGTACAACAGCATGCCAATTATCGACTTGTTTATCGTATAGTTTTGATTATTGTCCATATTTTCAGAACACTGTAAATGACTTAAAGTCAGTTCGCAGAAAGGTTTTCTTTACTGAAAAGTTCCAGTGTTTAACACACTTATGCTTAATACTCATATTACCAGCCCACTTATGAACTTTTGCATTTAACTGATTTGAGCTCATGTTATTTAATCTACACCGCAAACGAATAGTACTTTCCCACTGCTTATTAAAAATGGGTGTAACTTATACCTAAGTCTTCAGTAACGTCAGCATTTGATGTATATTTTCCTATCCCAAGAAAAAAGTCTACAGGCCCTATTATATACGGAATTATACAAGTATATGTTTTTACACCCATATACCTGCTCCATATTCTATCATAGGACAAACCAAACTCTGATATAATTTTACAAATACATCGAAACAAACATCACCTAAAAGTTGAGACATGGCTATTACCAACCCTAAAGCTCTATTTGCTGAAGATGCAACGGCTTTTGCTTTGATATTATAGTCTAATAAATAACCTTTATCTGATATCTTGTGTTAGATATTCTTCAAATGAACTCAAATACTTGGAGAATTTCCCTCTCATTTCATGATTTAAAAAGAAAAATTTGGATGACTAAAATACAAATCGTTTTATTCACTTAGAAAATTAACCTTTGATATATTCGGCCAATCTTATTTCATGTCTTTTAAGCGCAATGTACCTCCTTATGTATTCAAGTACTAATACATCCTTGGCTTTTACATGTTTGAGTTTGAGTGACCCTGATGAAGATAAAGCTACCAACGCGGATGTGACGCACCCAATGTATACATTGTTCTACATTTTCTAGCACTTTGCATGTAATACAGCTGCTGTATGACTGCTAGTCTTCGACGGGATCATATACTTAGAAGTCAATGCTTTGTATTTCCCGGGAAATGAAAGTTCCAACAAGAGACAGTTACCGTTACTTGAAAGACATTCATTGGGTATGCTCGAAATGAAAAAACTGAAAAGACATAATTATATGAAGTATTACAATGACCTATTAAAATCGAAAAGCTAAAACCGTCTCTGATCAACTTTGCGTTAAAGAATTGAATTTATTTATAAATTGAATTGCCCTTCAGCAGTCAGTTATCACTCAATGAAACTTGTATTGAAATTCTTATTCCACTTATATCATATGATGTTTTGACTATATTTGTTAATCT